GCAGCAGAATACAGAAATGGGATGCCCATTTCCAGTCAGCTTTGAAAGATGAAGAAACAGTGATGGTGTGGCAGAAGATGGAAATGAGATATTCTAACATTTTCAAGAGTCCTTTTTTTGTGTGAGGAAGCTTTCTATTAACAACAACTGAACGTGTGTGTGTGTGCGCGCGCACGCGCACGTGCACACATGTGTATTAGCAGTATTGCCTTCACTTATAACAGCAGACAGATCTGTCCCCAGGCAAATCTTACTTTAATTCCTCATTCGATCCATTTCTGACAGCTTTGAACTAGCCTAAAGAAACATTCTCCAAAGTTGCTGGCTAGCTCCTGTCCTTCTCTAAGACAAGATAAATTCATTCCCAGGAGGACTCCTTTAAACTTATTTCAACTCATCCATTGAAAGACTCTTCTAGAATCCAGAAAATAAATTAAGGAGGAAGAGATTTCAGAGAAAGGAGAGAAATGAATAAGGACAGCTGTACGACTAGAAAGGGAATAAATCAAATATTTGTGGGAAATGCTATTTCCCTAGGACTAGACAGAGATGGAATACAACACAGATCTATCCTCCAGAAGATGATCAGGTATGTAGGAAAGAAAAGAGAGGTCCGAGGATGAACAAATGGATGTAGACTCAAATCTGACCAAGAGTTTTTTCTTATGAAAGTGAAAGACATCTTACTACTCTAAAGGGATGAAAGAACTTTTCAAAAATGTTATATCTATTTTGAAATATTCCAACCATCCTGGTGTCATTTCTCAGTAAATTAATTCTTAAAGAAGAGGAGTCACCTGGATGAACCCATTTTGCAACTACTATTGCATTCTATTATATTGACTAAAATCTCAAATTAGTAGCTTCTAATATTCTGGAAACATATTCCTGAGTGCCAACTACATTAATACCCCTTGGAAGTGGGGATACTCTGAGTGTCTACAAAATCGCTAACTGTTCCTGGTTCTCTCTTTATTCTACTCTACCATATCCTTAGATATCTCTATTTTCCTTTACCACGTTTTCTCTTCCTGCTCCTTTTTCTCTCTCCTTCCACTTTCCTCATCTAGGACATACATCTGCCTGTGGTCCCTAATCATGCCCTGAGAGCCATCAGAATGACTCAGAGTTTCTCAAGCTCCTCACTATTGACATTCGGGGCTAGATAATTCTTTGTTGCAGTGGATTGTGCACTGTAAGATATACAGTAGCATCCCGGCCTCTTACTCAATAGATTCCAGTGGCAATACCTCCCCTAGTCATGACACACAAAGATCTCCAAATTGCCAAATGTCCCATATGATGCAACATCTCCCCCAGATGAGAATCACTAGAATAATTGAATCTGCTTCTACTCCTTAGTAACCTTATGACTTGAGGTTAAGAAGGGATACAATGAAGTTCAGGGAGGGAGCAAAGAAGGAACTATGTCATAGTAGGCGGTCTCAAGAAGCATCGATAACAAATAGGTAGGCAGAGTCCATCTTCTATATGAATTCTAATTTATCTGCCAAGTTCAAGAATATCCTGAATCTGTGAGCACAATGCATTTTGCTTGTCTAACGTATCAGTTACAGGTAACATGAGATGCCACTAGGATGGATGGGCCTTTGTATTTTGACCTCACAGATGGTGTAGGCAGGAGTTTTCAGCAGGCTATAAATATCCAACACATTCTTGTATAATCCATAATGCCTTGTTAGGCTAATACAGGGTGTCATTTTTGAGCCTTAATGCTTTGTTGGCAACACGCTATGAATTTGGGAAAGGAAGAAACCAAAGCAATGAAATGCTTAAATGGCTAGGAACTGCCATATGGCTCACTAATAAGGTGTCTTGGGCTCTTGTACACTTTTCCAAATGCTGGTTTTCCCTAGAGTTTTTTCTAGCCTTAGAAAACAGTCGGTTAAAATCCCAACTGCAAATTAGCAAGCTGATAGGAATTTCTCAAATTTTTAAAACTTACTGGTGTTTATTCATTCTATCACAGTTCATTCTCCAAGCATATTCAGTGCCATCTTATACATAAGAAAGTTCATTAAAAAGGTTTTAAGACATTTTCTTGCCCATGTTTCTTACAGGTCTTTCTCCTAGATCACCCCCTAACTCTCACCAAGGTGGACCGGACATTCTGGTATTACCAGTTTCTGCACTGGGAAACAAACATTTAGTATTAAATTTCCTACTAGTTGGTTTTGTCACTTTCTGCATAAAAACGATAGCATGTCTATCCAAAGTATTTTATATGCACCCTTAAAAAAATATGGAAATCAATCTATGTCATAGCCTCTCAAGAGCATTGACACTTTCCATTACTTCTTTCTTTCTTGAAATGAGTTTCACTTGTGGGTTTTATGATACCATGTTCTCCTTGATTCCCAGCTGCCCTGCTGCTCGCCTCAGGGTCCATGACTCCTCTTGACTGATGGCTCTCTTCAACTTGTGCTCTTCTTGACTGGTCAATAGACACAGATATGATATTGGGCCCTCTTCTTTACCTAAAGTCTCCCTGGGTGACCTCCACCAGCCTCTCAGATTTAAGTACCATCCATTTGCTAATTTCTAACCATTTCTCAAATTTCCATCTCCAGGCTTGACTTTTTCAGTAAGTTTTAAATTCATACATCTAAATTTCTACTCATCAAAACTTCTTGGATCAAATAGGTATATCAAAATTAGTGTGGCTAACCAGAGCTCTTTATTCACCATCCGTCCCCTTCATTCCTCCTCCTGCCTGTCCGAGATCCCAACCAAACATGAACGTTTGTCTCCCCCCAGCTCCTTGCCTCCACCAGCTCTCTTTCGTTCAGCTCAGGAAATTTCCTCACCACCTTTCTCTATGCTCTGACCATGTTAATACAGACATGGTCTCTCTCAGTTAAGCTTCCTGTTTAATGAGTAGATCCTGGACTTCCACAGATTCTTTTATTCCAGCCTCCCTAACTCCCAAGGTCTCTGTTTTTTATAACTCTGCAATGAGGGGTGTGGGGCGAAGTCACACTCCTGACACTCATCTTTGATCACTTCATTGGTTGTCCTCTATGGTCAGTGCACAAAACCTTCTCAAGTGACATTTATACTGCAGCAGTGTTGACACCAGTTTGACCTGATGGCAAGTAAACAAAAAATGAAGCAAGATTTTGATACAGTAAGGTAAACATCATTAATCCTCTGCATGATTTAATTACCAAATAATAAATGAAACAAATATCCTTATGATATTCTAGAGTCTCAACGATCCCCTGATCTCTGTTTATATGTACAAACATGGCATAAAGAAAATGGTACAAAATATTCATATATCAAAATTCTCAGGCCAAAATGACTGCATCAAGTAAGTAAGGATAATAAATAAATGAACTAGTTTCATAAAACCACTTTAGAATAAATGTCTGATATACTTCGATAAAATTGAAAAATTTCAAAATGTCCATCCGTAAAAAGTACAAACTCTTTACCTAAACAGACTCTCAAAGTCTTATAGCTCTCAGGCCAATTTTTAAAGAGTAGTGATCAGCTCTAGCATTTAAAAGCACTATACTCTTAAAAAGGAAATTATATCTAGATAGTGGCTCTACGTAAATATGCAAATAATGGAGGTGAGGAATGTTGTACTCTATCTAAAAAATAAAGTAGAAATTTGCCTTTTAATGGTTGGAAACAGTCTCAGAAGTAGAGTTTATTTCCTCAATGTAAACAAACCCTAAGTGAATTCTTATCCTTTCTATTGCAGCCAGATGGAAGAAAGGACACCAGAATAGTGAACATTTTTGTTTGAGAAATAAACACAAACAAATAAGAACATCAGGGCTCTTCCTATCATTCAGCCCCAGGATAATTAGACTGCTTTGGCTGAGGGAACAGGGTATCTATTGGGAGAGGAAGAAAGCTACCTAGAGGCTAAAAGGTATAGGGTTTTTTAAAATCGCTTTTTGTTTTTTATGGAAAAGGATCTTAAACTAGTACTGTTGGGAGTAGCAAAATAGACACCAAAACCTAAAGTAAGGTGCTAAACCAGGATTTATAAATTTAGATGTCTTTAAGCCATTCCCCCACGTGGAGGTATAAAAGGGTCCAGGAAAGGATTTATTTGGAAGAAGTCTTGGTATGCTGTGACTCCCACACATTCCTCCCAGTGAGGAAGGGTACTTCTCTGGGCCTCTCAGAGAAAAGGGCTTTAATGGAACCACTCAGAGTTTTGGATGTGCCCATTATAGTTTGGGATGATACTGTGTACTGGTACCTGAATGATGCTTGAGAATTCTAATTTGTAAACGTAAGACAATGCCAGGAGAGGCTGGTGCAGCACAGTACGGGTGAGGAAGTAGGGAAGAAATTGTACTCCCAAAGATTGCTGGGGCAAAGCATATCTGAGTATTCTCCTGGGGACTTGATGTGGGTCACAAGAGAGAGATAGGTTGAATTTATTAGACCCTGTCCAAAAGGAGGGACCAATCAGATTGCATTTTAGAACGTTTGCCTGATGGTTTTGGGGAGCAGGGAATTCTCTTTCCTTGATGTGAAGGAGAAACATAAAGCCTTGGTTGCTAATGTTGCCATATTTAACCAGGAAAACATCTAGTCCAGATGTGAAATTTCAGAAAGAGGAGAACAGAGCAGAAAGAAAATGGAGCACAAGCCACGGCCAAATGGTACACAAAATCCCACCTTGGTCTGAATGTTTTGCTGATGTGAGCCAATAGACTCTCTCCATGTCAAGCTAGTTTGAGTTGAGTTTGTCAGTATTTGTCACTGAAAGCACTTCATCTTAAAATTTTTTTCTAAATAATACGAGAGAAAACCCACAGTCCAAATTTGCTCTAGACTAGGATCGTCCAAAACTAGGAAAAGGCAAAAGAATCAGAATGATAACATCACTTGGTTCTTAGAGCTAACTCTATCCCTGGGAAAGAGGTGGATGCTAATCCAAATGAGACATTAATTGAAAGGCGGACTTCTTTTGGCTGGAAGGTAAGAAACAAGGAGAGGCAATGTGTTACCTGGTAATGAACTCTCTGGGAGCCAGAAGAAACTGACTGCAGGTCCTAATGAGAAAAATGGAAAAAAAATAAAAAAATGTATATCTACAGCTTAGGATTAGTTTGAACAAGCTGCTTCCATAACTCTGGCAACTGAACTCCCAAATGAACATTATTAAACTCATCTGGAAAGCATTTAACTCATCCAAATTCAACAAAGTTAAATAAAGAACATAATGCCAAAAATAATAAAAGCATACCAAGGTGGACTGAGAGAAGAAAGGCCATTTAGCTACTGAAGCTTACGAATCTTAAATAGGGTTTAGAAGTGAATGATATAATTTCAAAGATAGAGGAGAACAAAAGTAATAGAAAGGCAATTTTGTAATAATAAGAAGGGCAGGTCATACTTAATTTGCACCTGAACTTTTAGCTTGTAAAGAAAGCTTCTAAAGGTCAAGCACTTAGAAAGAATTGATTTATCTCAGACCAAATGCATACTGTCATGGCAAATGTGTGTATACCGATAAATTACTTGGCAAACACAGGATTTCATAGACTGCAAAGCGAAAAATCACTGGCCCCCTCTGCATATCACGAAGTGAAAACTAACAGGTTTGAAATTAAAGAGGTTTTCCTGGCAGATTCTGAAAGCCTGGCTCAATATATAAAGTTTTATAACTAACTTGTCACCATTGTCATGTCTCACCGGCTTCCTTCTTAATGAGTGTAGTGGTTCTATTTACAGATGTCAGCAATCCTGGGTACCTTTGTCCTTATATCTGCTTCCCACAGGGCTTTATCAACTTACTCTCTGTGTCCAAGTTAGTTTTAAAACTTCTCCTCTTTGAGTTCACTCTGTCCTCATTTTTTTTTAAGAATCCTACTTTTAGTTGAACATTGGTGTGAGAAGCATGTCAATAAATTGGTTCTCAACCAAGTCAGTTTATCAGTTATGTATTTTGCTACTGCAAAATCTTAAGTCATCCAAGCATTTTTAAAAAAATAAAGGTTTGGTCTCAATTAGGATTCACTTTTTTATTGCGGGCTTTTTGAGTGAGGTTCCACAATAAAATACAAACATTATTTTGAAAAATGAAATACTATATGTTACATGCTAAAAAGTTCACAAACCTTAACCTGTTCAAGTTATCCTTGGTAAACATAGGCAAACAAAGCCACAAGCATAAAATTTGTTGACTTTTCTTCTCTCACCCATATCAGTCTTCAAAATTTGGCAGCCATCTCAAAATACTTTGCATTCACAATTCCATCTCTATCCTTAACAACGCTGAAGAGAAAAATTAACAATTTTTCATCCTACTTTATGCCTCCTACCTGAATTTATTTCCACCAAGAGAAGTAGAACCTAGTTGGCTACAACTAGAAAGGATTTTAAACACTCTTTTTCTTCTTAATTTGTGATATTTACTTATGTATAAAATGTGGTCTGGAAGAGAGCTGCTCATCTTGGGGTATCTATCAAAATCACCCAACAGCTTTAAAAATACAAATGTCTAGACCACATCCCAAAAAAGTGATTCTAACATGCCTCTTTCATCAAGAAACAATGATAAAGAAGTGGCTATTTATGCTTTTTTGCCATTTGTGAAACAAAGACAGTGAAGATCCTCCTCAAAGTTTTGCCAAAACAGCCAATGACCACGGCGACAATGGGCTTGAGTCTCCTGGCTTTCCTGGCACAGTCCAAACTCATGGGACTGTCATATATGAGACCCTTCCTTTCTCGTTCTCTATGGTGAGACCAAACTGAGAACAAAAAGAGAGATTATTCCTTTGTGTTCTGACACAAATTCCTATAAAATACAGAAGATTCTTCTTTCCTGTAGAGTTACATTTTTTTAAATAACATCTAGCTGTCTCTGACAGAAGTCTGTGCTAGATACAAAACATTAAATAACTCCAAATCTCTGTTTTCCTTCATTATTTATCAGTGCCCTTTGAAATTCTGTACAGCTCAAAAAGTGCAGATATGTAGTCTGGCAAGAAGACAGAAAGTTCCAAGCTATAGCTATGGATCACACTAGAGCAACATCAGGCTGTAGTTAATCCACTCAATCCCTCAGTCCTTTCCCCTTTCAACCTCCTGAGGAGGAAGGATAGCAGTGGGAGGTGGGGGAGGGAGAAGATATGGTGCATGCTTAAAAGACAAGGCCGCCACATTTCCATTTCCTCCGCAAACGCATCATTTCAGAAGCAAATGTATATGTATCTGGTAATTGTTTAAAAAATGGAAAACTGAGAAGAATAAATAATTGGCTAAAGAAACTCACCTCCTGTAGGCGATCTATGTACATACGGCAAGTCTCCAAATCACAGTCTCCACGCACCACTAGAATACCCAGAGGGATGGCTGAGGGGGAAGGAAAAAGACAAGTCTAAAAGAACGTATTTGATTTGTCTAGATTGGCATAAATGTGTTTCTTACAGTTAGAAAAGTCTCATAAATATTATTGGGGTTTTTTTTTTGGCTATTTCAATATCCAAAATCCTCTCTATACCTCCCTTAGGATCTCAATCTCTCTATTTCCACAGTTGGTATACTCTTTCCTTGCACAATCCATGTTGCCTCTTGCCACCTGGGCTTCATTTCATTTTGTCTCAGTGGCCCTGATATGAAGTATAATGTCACGGAAACAGTGGATTGGCAGACCAGGAGGCTGCTCATAGCCAGCTGATAATTTATGCCTGCATTTGCAATAGCCAACATACCAGAGAGAAATTTTTAAAAAACCATGATTCTGGACACTTACCCCTTTCCCTCCTGAATGCATGGGGCTTAATCTTTCTGTCAGTTTTCAACAATTCCATATTTAACAGACTCAACTACTCAAGGCACTGTTCCTACCTGGTGGTCAACACCAGAACTAAATAGGCATGAAATATTAAAAAAAGAAAAAAAAAAAAAGGCTTCTGGAAGGTTCATAGCCTAAAAATCCAACTGATTTTAAAGATGGTGAGTGCAAATTCAGTAGCAGCAGGACTTCAAGAAATAATGAGAAGCTGTTATGTGCCTTAAATACCCGATTTAGGTGGTGGCAAATGTCACATAATGGCTCTAGTGGACAGAACCTCCTACTTCAGATATAACCATAAGATTCCTGAAACACTGAAAAAATAGTTTGCTTTCCAAAACTTCAAAAAAACATGTGTACATTTCTGATTTTAGAAGTACAGTTACACTATTAAATCCATGATTTAACAAAAAGAAGTAAAAATCTTGAATTTACCAACTAGAGACCAGCAGGCAGATGATATGACAGTGGTGTTCATAAAATATTTTCAAAAATCTTTCACTCATTGAATTTATTTTTAAAGCCTAATCATCAATAAATGGGTCTGAAAATGCAAAGTGCTAGGGCTTTAAAATTTAATAATACAGAGAATCCATTCAAAATGCATGGAAAAATCTTGAGGGAATTCACAAAGTAGTAGGGAAGTCATAACATAAACAAAAATAATAACTGTAACATAGGCTATACTAAACGTATGAATTTAGTCAATTGAAAACTACAGGAGAGAGGGACCACTTCTTGCCTGGAGGGTAGATTTTAGGCTCTTTGAAGGATATGGAGTAGCTCTTTTAGTTAGAGAAGCAAGGGTGGTCTAGGGAAAAAAGAAATAGAGCTTGTTTCTCAATATTACCTCCTAAATTGGTTTCCCCTAGGGACATCAGTACCACCACCTTAATCCTTTAGGTTCCCAAAGTGCTGCACATAAAGTTTGAAAGTGTCCATCATTTGGTGGAACTATTTAAGCCTGTCAGTGAGTAGGGACTCTCTCACATAAGGAATAAGACATGTTTACCTTCACAACCCCAATGGCTGGTAGAGAAATGGTAGATAGTCATAAAAGTTTGTAAGAAGAGGGAGGAAGATAGGCTTAGGGTCTGTTCAAGTGTGAAAGAGAAAGTGTGTCTTTAAGGGCTTGGTCAACTTTCCAGGATAGGGAAAGAAGCAAGGGTTTGGAGAAGTAGAGGGCAAGCACTGGTGGGAGCTTACCTTGGCCTGTTCTTCCCAAAGAGAAGCTAAGCTAAGCAGTAAGCAAAGGGGTGAGAAACCCTGCAAGCATCACATGTTTGGGGGAATAATAATCTGGAAAAATACTTTTTCTCTTCTTTTTAAATATAAAAAGAAACATCAAAAAAGTCTTTAGTATGGTGATCATGCATCTTTGACAGGAATGGAAGGGAAATTCAACAAGGAGATCCCTAAAGCACTGATTAAAGTCATCATCCTGAGATAGACTACTAAATAGAGGATCCAAATAAGATACTCAGGTAAGAGATGAATAAGGATCTCTAATACTTGAGGAATAATGAGAAAAATCTAGAATTTGGGCCTACAAAGTAAGTCAAGATTGTAGAAATAGCATATAGCTATAGTCAACACGAGGGTCCACATTAAAATGTTGCTTAACAATATTTTCTATTAATTTCAAGTGGGCAAATGTAGAGAAATGAAATTTAATCAATATTTATCTAGCTACTTAAATGAGAAGACATTTTACAGAAATGCAGGAATCCCATCAACACCTTTGATTTCCTTCTATTATCAATGCTTGGAGTTAGTCTGGTCGTAAATAGAAGGTGCTTGGTAGTAGATATTGTAAACTATAATTAGAGATTGGATATTCCAGACCTAGAATCAAGAAGGAATTGCTAGGAAAAAGTTTGCAACGATGCGTCATTCATTTCCCCATGGGTATAAAATCAGCAACTTTGCCTGATCCTCAAGAAGCTGAGTAAGCAAAGCAGTGCTTTTGACTGATATTAGCCATTAATTGGGCTAAAAAGGAAAGAAAAAAACCACCTTCTACCACAATTTCATAGTATGATTACTGACAATTGTGATCAAATTTATCCTTTGAAGTTAGCAGGGTGCAGTGGAAAGGACTTAGTCATTCACTCTTGGATTCAAATCCCAGCACTACTTTGGTCTTATGAATTACTCATTAGCTGTTTAATCTTGCAAGGTACTCAATTCCTCTGATCCTTGGATTGAAAATTATGGCATTTAGCATAGGTACCTTCTAGGATTTTGTGTAGAGAAATGCAACACTACATTTAAAAACAAATTACCGAAACATCATGATAGCTCTCCCTCGCTCCCTTTGGTATCTTTTGAGCATCTTTAGCTAGAAAATGCAAACATCTAGTCATCTATCTTTTAATTTATCATAATACTATACAGATTAGCTGGTAGTAGTCCATAAGTCATATTCCTGTTGATGTAAAACTAACTTCTATTCTTCCTGTGATGGGAAAAATAACTGTAGTATAAAAGAATTGTAACTTGACACTTCCATTTGGGGCTTCACATGGTGAAAACAAAGCGGAAACTTGAGGAAAATTACCTAATTTTACACTACTGACAACCAACTGCCAAACTTCACTGAAGTTCCCTTCCTCTGAATTGGGAGCAGTGAGAGTGCTCATCACCTGAGCATTAGCATCACTATCCCTGATCTTGATGATTCATCTTATTTTGGCCTTAGAGACTTTGTCACCAGTGCCAGCCAATACTTAACCCACATATTGCAGGGATCAAATAGAATTTACAAGTTCTAACTAAGCAGTAAAGAACAAGCTGGTTTCTAGATTAAGATGGCAGACTTAACACACGTACTTCTCTCTCACCAGAAATGCTACTAAACTACAGAAAATAGATTTTTTAAAGACATAAAATGAGAAAAAAGAGAAAGAAATGGTAAGGAGAAAATAGTAACAGATGAAGCAGATGGAAAATTGGTAACTGATCCAGAGCCCATGGAGCAGTCCAATCCTAAACAACAGGTGGGATGGATGGGAACCAACACAATTTACACAGTAAAACCCTCAGAAGACTTGAAAACTGGCAGCATCAGGAGCATCTAAAATAAGAAGCACTGGATGTTAGATCAGTAGATTCCACCACCCACTCTCAACAGGTGCAGTTACCTTATAGAAAATGGGGACTAATTGACCATCTGCAGAATGCAGAGATCCCCAGCTTTCTTTCCTCACCAGGCTCCCCAAAAGCTGGCAGCCAGAAGCTTAGCTTCTTAGAAAGAGATTGTAAGACTCTTCTCTGGGGAAGAGTCTTTAACTCTGAATCCTCAGAATTAAGAGAAATATTCCATCCATAAAATATAAATATGATTATATTAAAAGAAGATGAAGAATATGAAAAAGAAAAATGAGAAGGAGCATCTTTCAGAGAAAAAAATACAAAATCCTTGAAAGTAAAAATTTGATAAAAGAAACAGCTCATTAGAAAGGTCAGAAGATGAAGTTGAGGAAATCTCCACAAAAGTAGAGAAAAAATAAAAAGAGGCGTAAAACAGGACAGAAAAGCTAAGAAAAACAGAAGACTGGTCCAGGTGGTCCAATATCCAAATAATAGGAATTCCAAAAGCCAGAGAACATACAGAGGAGTAATTACTAGAAAAGAACAAACAGAAACATCGAGACTATTTCCTAAAACTGAGGAACATTAGTTTACAAACTGAAATGGCCCAACAAGTGTCCAGCAATAGCAATTGAACAGTAAAGACATTTTACTTTGTAATTTAAGAATATTGAGTATAAAAAGAAGAGTCTACATGTTTCCAGAAGAGAAAAACTAAATCACATAAAAAGGATCAGGGATTCAAATGGTTCTAAACTTCTCGAAGGCAACTATACAGTTCAGGAGGCAATGAAACAATGTCTTCAGAAGGCTAAGACTTTTGCACATAATCCAAACATCAAACAAGTTCAAGGATTGAATAAAGGGCACACTTTCTATCAAGAAGCTACTGTCATACTTGCCCCAATAAAAGTTTGCAGCAAGAATGAGGAATGCATGGGATATAACAAATGGGAAATCCAACAGAGAAGAGAACCAAAGGAAATGTGCAAGGGGATGGGGCTAGAAGATCCCAGGATGACAGCTGTACTGGGCTACCAGACAATACATACTGAAGCCCTGTGACTCAAGAGACAAGTATGGTGCGAGCTGTCTTTATTAATATTCTCACAATCCTTGTAGAGTTATTTTTCAACCCAAGGATAGAATGCCTAGGCGAGTCTGAAGCAGTTTCTTATATATATAATAATACTATATCACCCCTAGATGTGTTCTGCCTTAACCTGTTCTTGAGAGCAAGAGTTAGGTCATGATGAAGCAGAAAAATTCAAAGCCTCTAACTATATTTCCCTCTAATCATATTTCCACTTAGTAGCTAGAACCCACCGTAACACCCTGTCAAATGCTTCCCAGAATTCAACCATTACCTTGCCCACTAAATCCTCTGCGGAGGGGCTCGTGTGGACTCTCAGGGAAGCCGAAGCCAAACAATGATCAGGGACTCTTTTCAGCTCCCTTGAAAGCC